CGGCCCCCCCCCCCCCCCCCCCCCCCCAATCAGAGGGGAAATCCTCCATTCACCCAGGGATGTGCAGGGAGTGAGCGCTAACCCCTCGAGGAATTCGTTGCTACATTAGGGTGAGAGAGCAGGAGAACGAAAAAAAGGAAAGAAACTCCACAGCGAAGGCAAGCAGTTTTTCCTTTTTCCCTTGAACTCGAAAAAGAAAGAGCAACTTCTCTTTACAATTCCCCTCGAGGAATTCACATCCAGACAAACACAGAAAAGAAAAACAAAGGAACGATAGAGTAAATGCGGAGTCGAATATGCAGTTCCTCATCAACCAATGAAACGACGAATTTCAGATCCACCAAGAAATGACTTCGCTTTGCAATCCCTCATCGAGAAATTCAAGCTATGGAGACAACGGAGTGACAGGCCCCAGGTCTGTCTTACCTTTAAGTGATTCCATAAATTATAACATGGGAGTGAGATTAAGTGAGCCGGAGCCCATATAGGCTATCCATATCCCTTAATGAAGCCAGAGTAACGTGGCACATGACACCACAAGGGGAAAGCAGAGTATTGTTTTCTCGCTTCTTTCTTTCAGACTACTTCAGACCTCTTTCTTTCAGACTCCACGGAAAGCCTTCCAGATTCATAAATCTATTCATAAATAATTCTCCAAGAAAGAATCCCAGTTCGTACATACCGGCACGGCGATATACAGGATAGCCGAAACGGTGGCGTGTCCAAGGAGGTCAAAACCCCCCCCTTTGGGATACATGTTACTGGTTTGATTCTAAAAAAAAAAAAAAAATTGTTGCCCATATATGCAGAGTGGGTCACTAATTTTTCATGTCAAACCCCCCCTCCCCCCATTGGGGCACGCCCTGAGCACGGTACTGAGCCCAAAAGTCAGGAACCAGGGAGATTTCACAGTTGTGCTGTAATGATTGTAGATAAGTCATTTCCAAATGAGCGGATTGGACCGCGAAGTCCCGTCGAATGGTCACCTAGGTCACCGGACCTAGGTGATCATTCTGTGGGGGCATCCATGCTGGACTTCCCAAAAACGGGAATTGAAGGAAAGATTAAGATGTGCCAAGATTACTGTCAACGTGTTCAAACAGAACAGTTCTTACTGTTCTAGCATCCTGGGCAAAGCAGATCGGAAATGTTTCCAGGTTAATTGTGAACAGTTCGAGCATTTACATGCGTAAAATCTCTGTAGTTCCTGACTTATGGGCCACTGAGTACATGATCGATGCGAGACGGACGATATTGTGAAGGGACTCTCACCTTTTTTTTTTTTTTTTTTACTCGAAAGATTCGAAGAACACGTCCGTCTTTTCATCTGGTATCCTTTTGCGTCCGCTCGACCGGAAAACTCCCCGTTAAACTCAGAGAGAGACGCGGGAGTCGTTGGAGATTCATACCGGCGCGGTTAACGAGGGAACCGCGGGAATCGCACGGAGAAAGGCCTCTTTCTTCCCAGAGAAACTGTGTTTCCAGACGTGCAGCCTGAAATAAAGGGAAGAGTCGGCATCGACTCGTTTCCTTTACATCCCTCTGTGAATACCCCGGGGGGGGGGGGGGGGGGGGCTCTTCGTGGTTCTTCTTTGATGGTCTAATCACAATGGAAAAGTACGGAGCACGTTTAAGCGGCGGAATCCGAAAACGCATTAGCGATGGTGACGTCGTGAAGCTAGCTGACACCCATAGTCTCGGCGAAACGTCGAGGCAGTTTCACCGACTTCACGATTATACAGGTTTTCCAAGTCGAATGCGACCAGGAAATTGAAATGCGTCAAAAAAGTGAGACAGGGCTGTCATTTCCAAATCAGGCTCCAAATGCAAATGCAAACGCGCAGATGCATTTATACGTGACGTCACTCTTGGAATCGGTTCCATCGACAACCTCAGATTGCGAAGAGTGAAAGTTACCGACGATAAATATCGATCCTCCAAGTCCAGCACTGCAGCACGAGCCACCCCCGCATTCGAACCCGACCTGGCCAATGGACCCGGAGGTCCAAAGGTGACAATGAAAGGAGCCCGCTGGACTTTCCGCGTTACGGGGCATTAAGCCAGTTGGCGTCTCAAAGATGGACGGGCAATCTCAGTCGATACGGGCAATATTGGCCGTCCCCGACTGAGTCGCTTCGTCGCCATCGAAAATTGCTATTTTCTCTCATTTGGAAGCAATCCGATGTTTTAATTCGAATTTCTCGTGTCCATTTTTGACTTGGGAAAGGCAGATTTTGCGGGTTTTTTTTTTCATACCAAAACAAATTAATTTCTTGTCGGAAACTGGGCTCCCTTGCTCAATTTTTGGATTTACCCCCTATAATGACGTATTCTCGCCCGCATTTTGCATTGCCATTTGTTTTGCAGTGTACCTCAGAGGTGTAACCACTTCTGCTGAAAGTCTCATAACTGATCACGACACAAGAGTTCGAGGAACCCTTTCCTAGTCGATCGAGAGCTTTTTTTTTCAAGTCGAAGCTTTGTATGCTTGGGTTACTTGACACTTGTTGCCGCCTTCCAACAGAAAGGAACTCGCGTTCGGCGTCGTGCCATTGCGAATGAAGGAAATAACTTAATGCACTTAAATAACTTAATGGTGACGGCGATCCTGAAAGCGATCTCGGCGACAGCGACGAGAATTCATCGCTTAATCCTTCAGAAAGTGACGAGTCAAAGGGTGCCGACCGACTCCTCGAACGAGAGTGCGTGCACGGATCGAAAAAAAAAGAGAAAACATTCCTGTAATTCATCCGTTTTGGGGCCGAGCAGGGTTTCCAGGCTTTCGTCCGAGTCAGCTTGGGCGATCAGCCCCCTGAGCACGGTCGCTTTCTCCAGTTTTTCTTCGCGTGAGCATTGGGACAGCATTTCAGACGAGGAAAAAAAAAAAGCTCGAGCACGGTTGAGAGGCACTCGGGCAAAAAGGCACACCGATGATAACAAAATTGTTCCCCACTACTCCTGATGAAATACAGGTCCATTTTGCTCTTTCAACACTGATGTCCCGAACGAAGAAAACTACAGTACTACTGGTGAATTATTGAGCACTTTGGGCATCGTACAACTATAGGGGAAAGCATGCCAGTGAAATTGAAATGGAAAATAGCATTTTCACTCGATTCGATTTAAACGGATTTATGATGCTGTAGTGAAAGCTGTCTTGTTCAAAATAAATGCTATTTCCTGGCCTGCAAACCCTAACAACCCATAGGTGAAGGGATTAATTCGTTCCTAGGACCAAACCCGACGCACCGATGGTTGCCGACGAGATTAATCGGAATGGCAGCGCCACATGCAAATGCATTTGGAGACGTGCACTTTGGAAATGAATCTTTGTGGCAGTCGCCTGGCATTGACGTGAGATACTAATGTCACATTTCACTTTCTTTACGTCAAACGTTCAACGTCTAACCCCTTAGCACCCCCGCCCCGCCCCGCCCCGGCCCCACTTACCACCACACTTTAACTATTGCCTTTTTCATTTTTCTGCTAAAACTGGATAATGTCTGGAAATCAGCATAACGTTTCACAGGCCACAACGAAAATAAATTCAGGTGCTTTTTAACTTTTAAAAAGAATACGAGCCTGGCCATGGGGGGGAGGGGGAGGGGGGGAGAGGGCGGTCGCTCCCCCATTCCTGGTTCGTCTTGTTCAGCGATTCGTTTGGAGGGTTCGGGTTGGGCTCGGTCGGCGGGGAGTCTGCGCGATTCGTCGCCTGGTCCGTGATGTGGATGCTGGTGGAGGGGTCGTGGAGTGGGATGATGAGGGGACCATTAGGGGATGATGAGGGGATCATTAGGGGATGATGAGAGGACGAGGAGTTCGTCGCTGGGTGACTGCCGTTTTTCCTCCCGCACATGCGGTCCCTCGGCGATCACGCGAATGCTTGCGAATGCGGAATCCATCCTCACGTCGCGAGGACGCTGCCTGTGGCATCGTTGCCGTTTGGTGTGGTGCGTGGTACCATCGTTCGGCTTTCCTATTTTTTTTTTTTTCTCCAGCAGGTCCTCCTGCGGAACTCGGTGGGAACAGAAACGAATCGGGCTTGGGGTGCACCGGAACTCTATGAAGATCCAGCGACATTTCGGTCAGGTCGAGTCTTGCAGAGGCGAAAACTTGCGGAATCGGTAGAGCGACGTCGTGCGAGATCCAGCTGCTCTCTTCGAGTCTACTCTTCGAACTACGGCGGTTGCAGACCGCGAAAGCCACGCGATCGGCATCGACTCGATCTCGTCGTCGAGAGGAAACGAGAACGACTGGGAGGGGTCGACCGGGGTTCCGACACTCGTTGCCAGAACGATCCAATCCATCATTCAATCTCTCGAACGCTCTCGGGTGCCTCGGATCTCGAGGGCCTTGCATATGGGCCTTACATACCTTTGAATTTAAAAAAAGGACAAATATTCGAAGTATACCCACAGCCCCCTTAAGTCAAGGTGCCAACTGATACTATGAGTGTGGCCTACTGCTTTTGACTTACGGAAAATAATGATATTAGCTGCTATTAAGCTCTATTGACATTTAAAAAAATCCTAAAAATCTCAAAATATGTACAAAACTGTTCATATTAGAACCAGTTTGCAGTATGGACATTGCATCTGAAATATGTACCGTCCATACTAATTATGAACGGGTGGGAACCCTAGCCTTGCATAAGGCACAGGCGAGGTGGGAATGGCCCAGAGCGAGGATGAATATCCGTTGATGGCACCGTTAATCTCAAACAACTGTGAATCTCGATGATACGCCAATCGTTCCTTCTACAAAAATGCTAATTAGGCGTTCGTCCTCTTACAGTTACACAGCTGCTTAGGAGCACGCAGAAAGTCGGGTTAATTCAAAGGTGTGAATATGGATTTTTATACTAGTGGTGAAGTAGATTAGAAGTAGTGCGGATTTTATACGAGCGGGCCGAAAAGGGAACCTCGTTCCGTTCAACGTCCCCATCGAGATGTTCGAGGGTGTTGCAGGTCGCATGGGCAGATCCCGCAACACATCTTGCAATGGGTGAGAAATGGGTGAGAAAAAAAAGCAGACCGTGAGAAATACGTGTGGTACTCGGGACCCTTGCGAGGGGGGGGAACAATGAAAGCATCCAATCGGCCGGGTATCGGCTTGATACTTTAATAAGTACTAAGCCGAACCTACTTGCTGACCTCGTGCTTCCGGGGACTCGATTCAGATCGACGTTGTGATCGCTGACTTGTCGACTCAGATGAATCCGCCCACTATTTTCGATTTTCTTCGAAACAAAATGTCAAAAATATTTCAGTCAGTTGTTTTTCGTGGTCTCGCAACAGGAATTCGAAGAGCATCATGGACGGAGTCTATGCCTGATCCAACCCTTGCTGTTCACCTCATTTCGCTCGCAGTTTCATCAAAGCACAAAATTGGTTCATTAGTGAATCATGGAACTCACACATCCATATCCGTCACTCGGGTGGCAATTTGTCAAAAAGGATGAAATTTCAGTGATGGGAACTTGAAAGGTGCCCAAATTTTGCCTCAGATTTCTTGACACGCTCGGGATCAAAGAAGTCAAGACAATATATTTTTCCGTAATCTATTATTTATTCCACACACGTGCATGGGTATTTTCCTGGTAGCTCCCTTTCGTAACCAAGAGGAAATATCACACAAGTAAAGAACATATGCGCAGTCCAGACCTCGACGGATCTCAATCCCGACGCGACGATCCCAGCGCCCCCCCGACCGACAACGTCGTCAAGGAAGGGAGTCGAGGAAGTCCGATTGAAGCCGTGGAAACCACAAGGAGGGAGGAGGTGGGGTGGGGGAGGGAGCCAGCCTTCCGCCTCGCCGGCCGCGAATCTTCGTTCCTCCCGTTCGTCGGAGGCCTCCTCCCGTTCCTTCCCCCTCTGCCGCGTGGGATGGCCGCCCGGCGAGTCCGGGGAGGTTCGTGCCCGCGCGCGGTTTCTCCGCGCAGTAGAGATTCTTTCACACTCGCAATGTCTACATTGTCATAGGGATCCCATCCACAGCAGGAGCAGCAACAACGATAACAGTAGCAATAACCGACGCGGACAGCAATAAATTAATGCACGACAGTCCAAATAATTTAGCGCTATCACATGTCTCTATCAAAAAAGCATAGGTTGATTTGGTCGTTTCGAATTTCTTTCGTCCCATTCATCCAACCCCGAAGACAGAGGCTTTGAACATGCCTAATTCGTTGTCGGAAACAACTGAGATGCCACGATTCGGGTCTCTCTTCTTTTCTCTCGCTCTTTGTTCTTGGTAGGAAGGAATCTTGAGCATCGAGAAGGGACAGAGAATATAGGAGAGACCAAAAATGCCCTTAGTATAAAAGGAAAAAAAAAGCCAACAAAATGAGTGGATCAAAATTTGTGCGACTCTCAGTCCGACTTGAACCGAGTCTTTTCTAAATTTTCGGGGACAGATAAAATGCCTCTCGCAGTCGGTGGATGATGCTTTCACAAATAAGGCGACAACAAAAGTCTGATCTCGAGAGAGAGAGAGAGATCGTAAAAAAAAAGAGACAGATGGAGAAGGAGACCGCATTTGCTTCCGAGTAAGGTTCTCGGCCCGAAATGAGTCCCTGGTAGTCGTCCCTGTCAACTGGTATAGCCCACAGCCAGGCTTATTTCACCCCAAAAATTACTATTTTTTCCCTCCACCTGCAATCAGCGACATCGATACAAAAGACGGCAACACAACACTCGTAAGCGTATGCGGAGACGCGCGTGTCTCTGGAGGCAAATGGGTCTCGGTGATGACATTGCCGGACGAGGGAAAGCGAAGAAGAGGTTAGATGAACCGTTCCCTAGCGTCTCTCTCCTCTCGGCGAGTCACCAGGACGGAAGAGAGGGAAGGGGAGGAGCGGTCAATGAAGAGGCTTGTGCGTGAACCACCTCCGCATGAGAAAGTAGAAGAGCGAGCAAACGTAGATGAGAAGGAGGAGGGAACAGGTGACGGCCAGTGCCAGGACGGACGTCCTCGTCGGACAAGTCTCGAAAATCGCGATCCCTTCCTCGTTCAAGGGTCCCGGCCCGCTCTCGTATCGGGATCCACCTGCAACCGACATCCACCGAGTCACAGTCGTCCTCGCCCCGCAGAACCACCAACCCCCCCTCGAAATCCCCCTCACCCGTCTTGTTGAGTCCCAGTTCGTCATCGCCGAAGTCGAGGACGAGGATCTCCTGGCTGAGGGTCATGTCTTCCGCGTTGCTCCGTCCGGTCGCTCCCAGCAGTTCCGGCTCGGCCACGGCTCTCCTCCTCCTCTTCCCGTAGGATTCGTATTTTTCCAGACCCCAATCGCAGACGGCCTGCAACGAAACAGACACGAGAGTGAGAAAAAAAAAAACTCCACGGCGTGAAGTGACGCATCCCCCCAAAGAGCGACTGAGTGACCCAATTTCGTGCGAATCCAGGAAGGGAATCCGGGTATAACGAACGTCGTCGCCCCAAGCACGCTCCAATGACGTTGCGGCTCACCCGATAAGCCCGCGATGTGAGAAATTCTCATCGAAGACAGTTCAGAAAGAAGAAAACGAGCGCGGATGAAGACTGCACCGTTAGAGCTCTCGCCAGATAACTAGCATAACGGGGTGGATCCGAACACCCCCGAGATGAGGACGTAGAAAAAGTAAAAGAAAACGGGGCATTCAAAGGATAATGAGGAGGGAATGGTCTTCTTCTTTATACTCGTCGTTAGCCGCTTAATGGGAAACTTCACGAAGCCTGACATACGTCGTAACCTGAAACGAGAGCGCCTCGGGGCTTCCAAAAGTCCTAAACTCTTAATTCTTATTTTTAAAAATTCCCCTGCGAACGGGGCATCCGACCCCGCACGATACGCTCCGCCGGTCGTACAGGTCGCACCGGGGTCGACCGGCGAAATCGATCGATCGGCTCGGCCGGGGATCAAAGCGACACCGCTCCGGCGAATGGCGATGGGGTCACCCTTTTCGGGGCCAACGAGCCGTGACGGAAAGAGAAAAAAAAAAAAGAAAATAAAAAAACCGAAACTCGGTAAAGGATTCCATGAAATCGGAAATTGATCACGACAGCACATTAACAAAAAAAGGAAACAAAACAAAAAAAAACGTACCGGCTCGCAAGGCCCAAGGCAATATCTCACGTTGCACTGGAAGATGACTCCGTAGGACTCCGTGAACCGGAATGCGTCATAGTGGGCGACCAACGCGTTGCCGTCCGGCAGGAACCTCGGGAAGATGGCCGGGTCCACCGAGCACCTGCACACACACGCACACGCACACGTTCACGTCGGCCGTGGACCGTGAAGGAACGAACGCATGCATCGGGACCGACCCCTCTGCGGCCCATTTGTCACGTGCCCCGCGTACAAAAAAAATTTGGGGAACAAAGAAGTTTCTTCACCTCTCATAATTTCAACTCATTACCCTCATTAGTCGGTCTTCCGCTCCGACGATAATTACAGCATAACATGCATCAACGGCTCTCAATCCCGTCCGGGACCATCGCGGCTTCCCCAAAAAAAGGAAACAAACGACCAGGAAGCAAAGGACGAGCAACCAAATGACGAGGAAACACCGAACGAGGAAGCAACGGACGAGGTAGCAAAGGAGGCAGAAGCAACGGAAGAGGAAGCAAAGGACGATGAAGCAAAGGAAGCATCTCACCCGTTGTCGTCGATGAGCTGGAACGTGGACCTCGCATCCTTCGCCATGGCCACGCAGCTCCTAGCGAAGATCCCGTACGGCGCTGCCCCGAGAGAGAGAGGAAAAAAACCGTCCACATCATTCATCCCTCCTCGCCATCCCGCATCCCCCTCCCCGCGAACGCGATCGATCCCCGCGAGAATCCATCGCCGCGACCGCTGCCAACCGACCGTGAACGCGATCCGCCCCCCTCCCCCCCCTCCCCCCCCTTAACGGCCCCCCTCGAGCCTCTTTTCAGCGGCGCAACGGGACCGCCGCCGACTGCACGATCCTAACTGTCGCGCGTTTCGCCGACAACAGAGAAACGCCCCGTCGATGACGGCTCGAATCTCACGCTCCGTAATAAGCGCGCGGGATCTTTTCACGAACGATCGCTTCGACGAGCGAGTCTCACCAGGTGGGATTTTTTCCTCCTCCCACCTGTTGCCCGCACAAGAATTCATTATTACGGCATTCCTCTTCTCGGTCAATCGGTTATTTCACCGCACGGTCAATTGGCAATTCCTCTTGTCGGTCAATTAAATGCCTTTTCGCATTCCGATTCTTCCGGCACGAAACCCTAACTCCTTACAGCTCCTTACAGCTCATTACAGCTCCTTACAGCTCATTACATTCGAAATCGG